ATTAAAATCAGAGCTGAAATTAATGAAATCGAAACAAAAGAAACAATTGAAAAATTTGACAAAACTAAAAGTTGGTTCTTTGAAAAAATAAATAAAATAGACAGACCCTTAGCCATGCTAATGAAGAGAAGAAGAGAGAGAACTCAAATTACTAGCATACGGGATGAAAAAGGCAATATCACAACAGACACTTCAGAAATACAGAAGATAATTAGAAATTATTTTGAATCCTTATACTCCAATAAATTAGAAGATAGTGAAGGCATCGATAAATTTCTTAAGTCATATGATCTGCCCAGATTGAGTCAGGAGGATATAGACAACCTAAACAGACCAATATCAATTGAGGAAATAGAAGAAACCATCAAAAGACTACCAACTAAGAAAAGCCCAGGACCGGGTGGGTATACAGCAGAGTTTTACAAAACCTTTAAAGAGGAACTAATACCAATACTTTTCAAGCTACTTCAGGAAATAGAAAAAGAGGGAGAACTTCCAAATTCATTCTACGAGGCCAACATCACCCTGATTCCTAAACCAGACAAAGACACTTCAAAGAAAGAAAACTACAGACCAATATCTCTAATGAACCTAGATGCAAGAATCCTCAATAAAATTCTGACGAATCGGATACAAAAACATATCAAAAAAATTGTGCACCATGATCAAGTAGGATTCATCCCTGGGACACAATTGTGCACCATGATCAAGTAGGATTCATCCCTGGGATGGAAATCAATAAATGTTATTCACCACATCAATAGACTTAAAAATAAGAACCATATGATCATCTCGATAGATGTGGAAAAAGCATTCGACAAAGTGCAGCATCCCTTTATGTTCAAAACTCTAGAAAAACTAGGGATAACAGGAACATACCTCAATATTGTAAAAGCAATCTATGCTAAGCCTCAGGCTAGCATCATTCTGAATGGAGAAAAATTGAAGGCATTCCCTCTAAAATCTGGAACAAGACAGGGATGCCCTCTCTCACCACTTCTGTTCAACATAGTTCTCGAAACACTGGCCAGAGCAATTAGACAGATGAAAGAAATTAAAGGCACAAAAATAGGAAAAGAATAACTTAAATTATCACTATTTGCAGTGACATGATTCTATACCTAGCAGACCCAAAAGGGTCTACAAAGAAACTATTAGAGCTAATAAATGAATTCAGCAAAGTGGCAGGCTATAAAATCAACACGCATAAATCAAAGGCATTCCTGTATATCAGCGACAAATCCTCTGAAATGGAAATGAGGACAACCACTCCATTCACAATATCTTAAAAAAATAAAATAAAATACTTGGGAATCAACCTAACAAAAGAGGTGAAAGACTTATACAATGAAAACTACAGAACCCTAAAGAGAGAAATAGAAGAAGATCTTAGAAGATGGAAAAATATACCCTGTTCATGGATAGACAGAACTAACATCATCAAAATGGCGATATTACCAAAAGTTCTCTATAGGTTTAATGCAATGCCAATCAAAATCCCAACGGCATTTCTTGTAGAAATAGAGAAAGCAATCATGAAATTCATATGGAAAAATAAAAGACCCAGAATAGCAAAAACAATGCTAAGCAGGAAGTGTGAATCAGGCGGTATAGCGATACCAGACTTCAAACTATACTACAGAGCAATAGTAACAAAAACAGCATGGTACTGGTACCAAAACAGGCGGGTGGACCAATGGTACAGAATAGAGGACACAGAAACCAATCCACAAAACTACAACTACCTTATATTTGATAAAGGGGCTAAAAGCATGCAATGGAGGAAGGATAGCATCTTCAACAAATGGTGCTGGGAAAACTGGAAATCCATATGCAACAAAATGAAACTGAATCCGTTTCTCTCACCATGCACAAAAGTGAATTCAAAATGGATCAAGGAGCTTGATATCAAATCAGAGACACGCCGTCTGATAGAAGAAATAGTTGGCTACGATCTACATTCGGTGGGGTCGGGCTCCAAATTCCTCAATAGGACACCCATAGCACAAAAGTTAATAACTAGAATCAACAAATGGGACTTACTCAAACTAAAAAGTTTTTTCTCAGCAAAAGAAACAATAAGAGAGGTAAATAGGGAGCCTACATCCTGGGAACAAATCTTTACTCCTCACACTTCAGATAGAGCCCTAATATCCAGAGTATACAAAGAACTCAAAAAATTAGACAATAAGAGAACAAACAACCCAATCAAAAAATGGGCCAAGGATCTGAACAGACACTTCTCAGAGGAGGACATACAGTCAATCAACAAGTACATGAAAAAATGCTCACCATCTCTAGCAGTCAGAGAAATGCAAATCAAAACCACCCTAAGATACCATCTCACTCCAGTAAGATTGGCAGCCATTATGAAGTCAAACAACAACAAGTGCTGGCGAGGATGTGGGGAAAAGGGTACACTTGTACATTGCTGGTGGGACTGCAGATTGGTGCAGCCAATTTGGAAAGCAGTATGGAGATTTCTTGGAAAGCTGGGAATGGAGCCACCATTTGACTCAGCTATTCCCCTTCTTGGTCTATTCCCTAAAGACCTAAAAAGAGCATGCTACAGGGACACTGCTACATCGATGTTCATAGCAGCACAGTTCACAATAGCAAGACTGTGGAACCAACCTAGATGCCCTTCCATAGACGAATGGATAAAAAAAATGTGGCATTTATACACAATGGAGTATTACTCTGCATTAAAAAATGACAAAATCATAGAATTTGCAGGGAAATGGATGGCATTAGAGCAGATTATGCTAAGTGAAGCTAGCCAATCCCTAAAACACAAATGCCAAATGTCTTCTTTGATATAAGGAGAGTAACTAAGAACAGAGTAGGGTCGAAGAGCATGAGAAGAAGATTAATATTAAACAGGGATGAGAGGTGGGAGGGAAAGGGAGAGAGAAGGGAAATTGCATGGAAATGGAAGGAGACCCTCAGGGTTATACAAAAGTACATACAAGAGGAAGTGAGGGGAAAGGGAAAAATAATACAAGGGGGACAAATGAATGTCAGTAGAGGGGGCAGAGGGAGAAGAGGGGAGGGGAGGGGAGGGGAGGGGAGGGGAGGGGGGATAGTAGAGGATAGGAAAGGCAGCAGAACACAACAGACACTAGTCTGGCAATATGTAAATCAATGGATGTGTAACTGATGTAATTCTGCAATCTGTATATGGGGTAAAAATGGGAGCTCATAACCCACTTGAATCAAAGTGTGAAATATGATATATCAAGAACTATGTAATGTTTTGAACAGCCAACAATAAAAAATTTAAAAAAAAAGACATTTATTGTTTTTATGATTATCTAGTTTCAACATGAGAATATATTTTTCATTGAGATATTTACCAACTTCTGAAATTACTGTTTTTGAAGATGATATAAAGATAGTTATGGGAACAGCATCAAAGAACTAACTCCAGATTAAAAGCTCTGTGTCTTTGGGCCTCATAAAAGTTCTCTTATGTGAAGGGGAGATTTTCTAGGATATTCCTAGAAGCTCTAATTGATGATAAGAAATAAAGAGTAAAGAACAAAACAAAAAACTATCACTATTCTTAGAGTTATGGGTAGTAGCAAAAGTGCCAGTAGGTCACTGGTGTTTTGTATATAAATGATTGCATTCTAGAGAACTAATATTATCTGTTTATCATCTTATACAAACCACACAGTGAGTTTGGCAGACAGTGACTCTAGGATTGATGATTATAGCTGTATCTAGCTGTTCCAAATAAACAGCTCCAATAGAAATCTTCACTGGTGTGCATATCTCTATTGGCTACAAAATAACTTTGGTAGCCTCAGGAACACCTAATCAAGTTGTCCACTATCAGCCAAAAGAATAATAAATTACATTAATAAAGCAACACATCCTCAGTTTGACTGTGAGGCAATTGTATGAAGGCTGCTTTCTGGTCAGTCTGTGTTTATTTCAGGCTGTCATTCTATTGGCTGCTTTAGGCCAATCCAGATCACATTTAAGTCTTGCCTCTGCTTCCTTTTCCTTGATCCCATCTGTCATGTTTCAGCAAATTTCAGGAAAATCTAAAAATGATTGTTTTTATACCATTAATTTAGTAGTATCTTTAATTTCATGTTCTCCTTACAATCTGTGTTCTCTTTGCAGGTCAAGCACTGGCATGTTGTTTGAGGAAAAGTGTTTTTATATATAAATGTTTTTCATATATTTTTCTTCTTTATCATTGATGCTTTTTTCCCCTTTCCCCTTAGCCATCTTTGTGGTATAAAGAGTTAATTTGAAAGAACAGAACTAATTTCTACCATTCGTCACCTCTGTGACTTTAATCTCTTAACCTTTGGATCTTAGTTTTCTCACCCATAAAATGGTGGTGATGAAATATTTCTTAATGTATAAGGGAGGATTAAGCAATATTGTACATATGAAACTTACAAAAGGTTAATGTGCTTTTGCCTACTCGAGAATGAGAACCCAGAAATAAGTAGCAGGACCTGCAGTAAACACATGATTGATTCACACTGGTAGGGGTAGGAAGCTGCAAAGACCAATGTTACAACCTACCTCAAGGCTGGCTAGACATTTCCTACTCTAGACATTACCCTCACATAGCCACGTCTGATCATTTCTTGGCTTCTAATGCTATGCTAGATGTCCACTTACTAGAGAGCATCACAGGAATATCCTGCTTGCAGACAGAGTCTAGGGAAATCTTTGAGGAACATTTTTCCATAGATCAACCTTACTTGACCAGTCTTCTGGTCTTTGGCTGACTCAAGAAAAAATTTTCCTAACTCCTTAGGAGGGAGTAGAATTTGTGGCCTTCTGAGGACCAATCCCCTTTTATTATCTGCCTTCCATTGATATGGACAAGGAATGTGTACACTTTGAGAGGGATTTTGATATTATATTTAAATAAGCTTTTCTTATAAAAGTATATTTTCTTTTGGCCAACCTATTTGAATTAATATTCAAATATAGGTTTCAAAGCAAAGAATTACCTTTAAAAAGTGTTTGATATGACAAAGGAGTAGCATCTTAGTCTTACTATATTGAAATATCAGGTCTAGCTGGCAGCTAGAGTTTAAAATAATTGAAATTAAATAATTGAAATTAAATTAGAGTTTAAAATAATTGAAACTGTCATTTAAAAAAAAGTCAGACCGATGTGAATCTGCAGTATGTATACGGGGTAAAAATGGGAGTTCATAATCTGCTTGAATCAAATGTATGAAATATGATATGTCAAGAGCTTTGTAATGTTTTGAACAACTAATAATAAAAAATTTTTAAAAAATAATAAATAAATAAAAAGTCAGCATACATTAGTGTACACATAAAGGCTCACTCCTAGAATCTCTTTTTGTATTGTTGGCTTTGCACATTAGGGTAGAATTCCTCTTGATTATTGTAGAAGGCAGAGAGAAAATCATTCTTTTTTTTTTTTTAGCATACAAACTCTAGAAATATGTCTTCAGTCTCTAGTGCAAAATGAAATCACAGTTACCGTCCCAAGAGACGTTGGTCATAAAGCCACCAACATGCACTTTCATATTTGTTTGATTCTCTCCCACTGTATAGGGTTTTTTCTCTCTCAGTATTGGCCACTATAAGTCACTATAAGAATCTTTTACACTTTGTCCCTTATTTAGAAGATTCTAGAAAAATTAGCATTTCAGGGCTGGGGTTGTGGCTCAGTGGGAGAGCTCTTGCCTAGCATGCATGAGGCACTGGGTTTGATCCTCAGCACCACATATAAATAAATTAAATAAAACAAATAAAGGTAGATCAACAACTAAAAAATATTTTTAAAAAGTAGCATTTCAGTTGCTGTCAAGTTACTATGAAAAAGAGCATAGAAAGTTCTTTCTACTAAAATTCTCCAGATTAATGGTCCAGAGATGGGGTCAGTGCTGCCAGGAAATCCACAGCCAAGGTTAGAAAGAATTTGGAAACCTCACAGAAAGCAATTTGACATCATATTTAATAGCATCAAATTATGGACCTTTTCTTCACTTAGAAACACCTGCAGATTTTTTATCTTATGATCTTCCAGTCAAGAAAACTGCCTAGTAACCCTATTTATGTGTCATCATTTGTTTTTTTAATTTTGAAAAATGAAGCTGAAGATCACATTTAAGAAGAAATCTAGAAGATTTTAAAATAATGTAATTAAAGAAATACTTACACCTATTTGGATTGTTGCTATGATTTGGGAGTTACCTATAAACTTTGATGGTATTTCAGGTAGTTATCATTTATTTTGAAATCCCAGAAGGCTATACATTTGCATTTATCACAGCCCAGATTTTCTAGATTAGTCTCAGATTAATGAAATTATTGATTATTGGTATTGTCAAGGAGGTAGCAGAGTTATAATCAATGTGTTGTTCATTTGAAAAGCTTCTTTATCTAATGGTTTATAACTGAATTGTTTCTGGAATTTCTTTGCTTCCTTTTCACTTTCTTCATTTAATTGTTCTTTTAGACATGAAGAACAGCCAAGGCCTTTTGTGTTGCATGCATGCTTAAGGAACTCAGATGAAGAAGTAAGATTTTTACAAACATGTTCTCGGGTTCTGGTGTTCTGTCTACTCCCATCAAAGGATGTCCAGTCTCTCAGCTTACGTATAATGCTCGCAGAAATTCTCACGATGAAAGGTAGACTTATAAAATTAATTTACAATTATGATAAGTTTGTAAATTAATGTGCCATATACTGTGATTACATTTTAACACTTGTGCAAACCTCATTTACTGTGGGACATATGGATAATAAAGTAGTATTTTAGAAATTTCAAGCTTAATTGTCATTCAGAGAAAACATTTGGCCTTACGTGATAAACATAAATTTTTTATATTATATATATTGCAAAATGCACAGTCCATTCTGCTGTTTATTTTGACAAGAAAACCAGTCCTTATGTTCTCCACTGCAAAGCATTCATTTGGGATAGCCTTCTGAGTTTTCCAGGTCAATAATGTACACGTTATAAGATTAATTGATATTGCCTACACATAGTCTGTGAATTTGGGATAACTAAAAATGGTACTGTGCCACAATATGACCTAAAAGAACCTTTCCCTGTCTTAGAATCTCAAACAAATAAGGAGAGAAGCACTGATTATATATCTCATTTATGTCAGGATTAGCCAGGTGTGCCCATCAACTGGTACAGCCAACCACAGAGAAAAGGGGAACTTTTTAATCTACAGTAAGTGGGATGGATTTGTAATAGTGTTATTGATTTTTTTCTAACAACTTCCTCCATGAAGTCTGCTTTGACCAGTTAGTAGAAGATTTTCATCTTTTGGCAGACTAAACTGGTCAAAACAAAAATGAATGAGCCTTATAAAAGAAATATAAGAAAAAGAAACAGTACTTAATTTTAATATCATTGTTAGTAATTTGGGTTTCTGATGACTTCTTTTCATTTACATTTCACTCACCTATTAAAATGACCACTTGATTGTATCTATATATATGGTAACTTATCCAGAGGGATAAGCAACTTTGAGTGTGTGTGTGTGTGTGTGTGTTTATGTACATGCATGCTTATATATGCACACATACCTGCATACATGTGCCTTTTTATATATTTGAGCTGTTTATAATTTCCTCCATTTGACTTGTTGAAAAATGTTTTCCCAAATGTAGTTTCAACTATGTAATATGAAAACAATTCCTTCAGAAGAATATCTTTTTCCATGATGTTTTCTTCTCATCTCCACAGTCTTAAAGCCAATAGTGGAGTTATTGAGTAATCCAGATTACATTAACCAAATGCTGCTTGCCCAGTTGGAGTACAGAGAACAGATGAATGAACATCACAAGAGAGCCTACACCTATGCTCCCTCTTATGAAGAGTTCATCAAGCTCATCAATGGCAACTCTGATGTAGAATTCTTGAAGCAGCTAAGGTATTTGATCTTTAATTATAGCACAACAATAGCTACTAGTTATTTCCTAAGTAGGTATACATGTATATATGTATTATATATACATAATATATATGTATATATTTGTCAGATAAGCAGAAATAAATAACTAAAGTCCATAAATTTTACCATTTAGTGACAATTACATTTATATTTATTTAATTACATTTATCCAGCTTCTTCTTAACAGTGGAATTAGAATTAGGTTTTTCCAATAATTAAGTTGTAATAGATTGAAAGTTTTTCACTTGTTAGGAATACCTTATTAGCCACTCAGATGCTATCCCCCAAAAAGCATTTGAAGGAAATGATGTGTTTTTAAATTACAATGTTAAAAGAATACTGTTGGTTTTCATTTTTCTGGGAAATGCAGAGACTTAGTTCTGGGAATAAAGGGTTCTTGACTAATTATTTTAAGAAATCACATTAGAAAATATCAGAAGTCTCTTATAGGGGAACATGTATCCCTAAGATATTTTCAGGGTGACCATGTTTTCTTTCTTCTATAATATATATATATATATATATATATATATATATATATATATATATACACACACACACACACACACACACACACACAGAGTATAATTATATAGCATTTTCTAGTCTGTGGATTTGCTAGGCTTGTTTTCTATGTTTACCTTTCTGTTTGTTCACAAATGATGTTACATAGGAAAAGGAAAGAAAACTCTGTAGTGTCAGTTTTAATTTTCATTAGTACTTTCAGTAAATCACTGGCGTAAAAGTAAAATATTGACTAAAATTGAATCTTTGAACTATTCAAGGATTTTTAGATTGGCCACATTTGCCTTTGAACTGGGGTTCACATTAAGGTGACTTATGCTATTTAACTTACTGGTTGAAATAGTAATTACATAAAAGACTCATTGTAGATGGCATTGTATTCTTATGGAGTGTATCATGTTAATCTTGATCCTACAAATGTGTTACAATGAGTTTAGTCATATGATTTTCTTTAAAAGTGATTAATTCTTTTGGACTATAATATCTGGATATTTTATTTATCCTTCTCCTTCTACAAACAGTCTTAAATGAAATGTGCTAAATGGTAATTATTTATTATAGATTTGTGATTATTTGTATATGAATCCAGAAATTTCATTTTGAGAAGTGAGACACATATTTGTCATCTGGGGCTTGTAGATTATACCTACTCAAAAGTCTTCCTTATCATGGCTTCCTTTGATTCCTTTTTTTAAAAAGAGCCCACAATAACATGCTCTTGGTCATGCACTCCAAGCTCTGGTTCTGAGGATGCCTTTCAGACCTGTGCTCCAATATTTACCCACCTGTTGCATTTATGCCCACGTCCTAGCAGTCACTTTCTGCACCGCACCCCCAACCACAGCCCATGGCAATCTACTTTCTGTTTTGATGAATTTGCCTATTTTGGACATTTTATATAAATTGGAATCATTCAATATATGTATGGTTTGACCAAAGTAGCATATGCTGACCACTCTAAGACATTGTTTAGAAACAGATACCTCATGTTCATAAATTGTGGGTGCACTGAATTCCTAAGCATTTTTTCCCTGGTAAATGATCCACAGTAAAGTCAAACATGGACCATTTGGTAACACCAAGTAAGTTTAAGATAATTTAAAGTCAATGGTGGCAGGTTAAGTGAGTAAGTATTCATTGTTCTTCCAAACTTATGAATGAATATTATATTTTATATGTCAAACACATGGTAAAATAGTGATACTAACAAAAAAGGTATAAAAGATATTTTTGAATGTTCAACTGTTAGTTCTCCAGCACCATCTGTCATTTTGTATTTGAGCACAATTTCTATGTGAGAAGATGAATGAATCTTGATAAGAATTAATAGTCCCTCTTTTTCAAAATATACTAACCAGATTCTTAGAACTTTTTGAATACTGCAGTTCAACATTTGGCAATAAAGAGGTATCTCAGCAAGAGTTGGCCCTTTAAATGATAAATTGGTATCTGCTGCCCCAGGATCATTGAAATAACTTGATTTGGCTACAATAGGAAAATCATGCCTTAACTAGGTGACCAAAAATTACACCAGATCTTACATTTTCTCTTTCCCATCTGATATGTGATGAAATGAAAATGGTGTTAGCATTTCAATCTTCCTTTTCACTTCATAAATAAGGCAACATTGTGGAACAGCATAAAGGGAGTTCTAGGAACCAGGCCCTTTGTTCAGTCTTGAGACAACTAAGGGACAGTAGAAATGCTGAGCTAAAGAACACTTGTTTCAAAAATTGAGATATAATTCACAGATAATTAAGTTCACCATTTAAAAGTGTATACTTCAGTGGTTTATAGTGGGTTCAAAAATTGCACAACTAATATTACTGTATAATTCCAAAATATTTTCATCACTCTCAAAAGAAATTCCTATGCCCATTAGCAGTCACTTTCTTTTTTTTTTTAAAATTTTTTATTGTTGGCTGTTCAAAACATTACATAGTTCTTGATATATCATATTTCACAATTTGATTCAAGTGGGTTATGAGCTCCCATTTTTACCCCATATACAGATTGCAGAATCACATCAGTTACACATCCATTGATTTACATATTGCCATACTAGTGTCTGTTGTATTCTGCTGCCTTTCCTATCCTCTACTATCCCCCCTCCCCTCCCCTCCCCTCCCCTCCCCTCCCCTCCCCTCTTCTCTCTCTGCTCCCTCTACTGACAATCGTTTGTCCCCCTTATATTATTTTTCCCCTTCCCCTCACTTCCTCTTGTATGTACTTTTGTATAACTCTGAGGGTCTCCTTCCATTTCCATGCATTTTCCCTTCTCTCTCCCTTTCCCTCCCACCTCTCATCCCTGTTTAATGTTAATCTTCTTCTCATGCTCTTCGACCCTACTCTGTTCTTAGTTACTCTCCTTATATCAAAGAAGACATTTGGCATTTGTGTTTTAGGGATTGGCTAGCTTCACTTAGCATAATCTGCTCTAATGCCATCCATTTCCCTGTAAATTCTATGATTTTGTCATTTTTTAATGCAGAGTAATACTCCATTGTGTATAAATGCCACATTTTTTTTATCCATTCATCCATTGAAGGGCATCTAGGTTGGTTCCACAGTCTAGCTATTGTGAATTGTGCTGCTATGAACATCGATGTAGCAGTGTCCCTGTAGCATGCTCTTTTTAGGTCTTTAGGGAATAGACCGAGAAGGGGAATAGCTGGGTCAAATGGTGGCTCCATTCCCAGCTTTCCAAGAAATCTCCATACTGCTTTCCAAATTGGCTGCACCAATTTGCAGTCCCACCAGCAATGTACAAGTGTACCCTTTTCCCCACATCCTCGCCAGCACTTGTTGTTGTTTGACTTCATAATGGCTAGCAGTCACTTTCTATCCCACCCCCCGAAGCCCTTGGCAATCTCTAATCTGCTTTTTGAATTTGCCTATTCTGGATATTTTATGTAAATGGAATCATGCAATATGTGGCCTTTGGTGTCTGGCTTCTTTCACTCAGTATGTTTTTAAGGTTCATCCATACTACAGAATGTATCAGTACTCATTCCTTTTTTTGGCTGAATAATATATGTCATTGGATGAATATATCACATTTTCTTTATCCATTTATCAGTTAACAGACAATTTGTCTTGCTTACACTTTAAAGAATGCCTTTTGAGTGACCACTGAGCATCTTCAGGAGCATTTCAGTAGCATTCCCAATGACTCTTGGTAAATGAAAGTAAAATAAAATGTTATGGATTCTAACCTGTTCCTACCACTACCTACCCCAGTGTGCCTGTTACCAAGAAGAGATGGAATACAGACACCAGGAAGGGATATTCCTCTTATGCATTGTTACTGATCTATGTATGTTATTCTCTTTTGTGTCTTCCATCATACTGTTTGAGTTTGCATTTCTAGCAGAGTTTACTAAGTCAGTGGAGAGAGCAGCTAGAAGTATTTTGATGATTAGATAATCAAGAACGTCAGTCTATTAGAAGAAAAATACATTTGCAGGTCTAATTAAGTAGGTATGATGACTTAGTCCAGTTTAAATGGCAATGTTGCTGACTTCTAAACCTTTGTAAGTTTTCAGTTCCTCATGTAAGTCTTGGGGTATGTGTTCATGACTTCCTCTAGAAACTTCTCTAGTAATAAGGGGTTGAAAGAGAACTTTCCTTGAAAGTGTGATATGCATCTCAGATATGGGATTATGGTAATCTGAAGAATTTATAGTCCCTGCAACAAGCTTGGCAAAGAACCTTGGGAGAAAATATCATGGAATGCATTTTTCTCAATAATAGATATATACCTCCAGAGTTACTTTCTGAATAGTTTTGTAAATACTCCGTAGAGTCTTCCTCTGGACCTATGTTTGTGATACAGCTTCTTGGGCTTTGCAATATAGTAGAATTCCAGGCAGTTCTATTTGATAGGGCACTGGGATATCTTTTATTCATGGTGCATTTGTCCTTATTCCTTGCATCTTAGGGATAGACCTGAGGGCTAACCTTTGTTCTCTGTTTCATGCACAGCTAAGTAGAAAGGCTACCAGGAATGAATGTAATTATAGAGATTGACCTTTTTGCTCCAAAATGTAGATGATGTTACATAAATTGATAGTCATTATTGCTTTTTATTATATTCTTGTCTTAAGTCTACCTTACTGAGACTTATCAGCCTCCCAGCATTAATAGCATTGCTCTCTTCAGTCATAGTCTGAATACCCTGTTGTTTCTCTGGCTTAGAGTACTCTGCTGTCTGACTTTATTAGCATTTTAGGTCACTATTTTCAAATTGCTGTCAATAAAATTTTGGAATAAGCTGCCTCAGGCAGGGAGTATGTTTTATTTAGACTAAGCAGTTAATGAAATCATCCACTTTTATTTCCCACATATTTGGGAGACAGATGCATGTTTTCTAAAGGAAATAGTCATTCCACTCTGCTAGGATGGAATGCATTGAAGACAAAATAAAATAAAGAACCATGAAGGTGATAATTATA